CCTCTGCCACCCATGTATTTTTTTCCTCTTCTCATTCTCTTATGTACCCCTTCTTCTTGAAGGAGAGTCAGTATTCTGCTCTTATTTGGAGAAACATACTTTGGTGTGTTTTCTCCCTTCTTTTGGTCACACAGTGAGTGGCCATCTCCTGCTTTGGACATCAGGGCTGCTTCCTAACAGTTTCTCCTCTTCTTCAGTCTCCTTGTCTGTCAGCCATCTGTTGAATGGTCTTAGACAATGGTCCCTGTTTGTTGAGCTTTTTGTATGGGAAGCTAGTGTCTGGAGCTTTTGAACACAGTAACTTCTTTAATCTTCACGACTACCCTAGAAAATGATTATTCTTGTCTTCATTTAGCAGATGAGATGAAAAGCTCAGTGAGCACATGCTCAAGGCCTCAGATCTAATAACTGGTCAAGCCCTAGCTCTTAACCATTTCCTGGTAACATGTAAGGTCCCAACTCCTCAGCCTGGCATTCAGTACCAGTTGCCCTCCACGGCTCCCTGTGTAGACCCTCTGCTCAGTCCATCGGTCCAATTCACCTCCCCATCAACATCAGCGGTTGAGGGTGAGAGGGTTTGAAGGCAATGCAAGCTTCTCTATAGCCTTTCCCAGAAGGATGGGAAGAGTCAGAGAGCTGCCAGCTCTTACTGCATCCCTGAAGTCCCAGGGCTCCTTATAATATTGGCAAGAGGAATGCTCTGTCCCTCTGCCTGGCTGCCCCTTCACAGGGTACCCTTGTTCCCTTCTTGTCTCTGATCCCATCTGTGTTGTTCTTTCTTCTGACCCTTCTTTCTCAGCATGTTTGTTCTCCTTTTGCATGATGCCTACATCTTTGCACTCTGTTACACTGTCTCCTTGTTATCCTTCTATGTCTTTTGGGTAAAAGTAATTTCTGACATTCTAACTTTTCTTCATTTTTTCCATTGTTTCACATCTTTTCCTCTTGTCTCCTTTTCCTTTTACTCCTTTCACCTCTCCCTTCCCTTCTTGAGGTAATGTTAGTTTTTCTCCTCTTTCTTTTCCAATCTGATTCCTCCCTTCTTTCTCTTGTGTTTTCTCTCTTAATTGCATTCTGTCCCATTGCTCTCTGAGGTTCACCATTATTCCCTAGGATGGGACTCTTATTTGCTTCTACGAGCTATGACTGGTTGCGTGTGCCCAGGCGGCTTTGGCAACAAAGGGATCACCTCCCCACACTCCAGAGGTGAAAATTGAATTAGTATGCAATCAATGTTAACTTTTCCTGAAAAATATGAACTTATTACTTTTACTTTTTTTTCAAAATATTTTCTAATCATTATTTGTTTATGTGTTTAAAAATGTTGTAATACAGGGTTGGGGTGTTATAGAGTACTTTCCTAACCTGTGCAAGGTCCTGGGTTTTATCTCCAACCAGAAAGAGAGAGAGAGGGAGAGAGATAAATGTTGCATTATATGCTGTATTTTGAGAAGGTAATTTCTCCCAAAGTTATTTTAACCATTTATTCAGTAGATATTTACTAAGTAACTATAATGTACTGTATATACACATTGGTTCTTGCCTTATCAATTTTTACAATAAATTTTATTGGGTGTATCATTTCAACATTGTATTTATATTATTGTTCCACAAAGATTAAAATTCTAAAGGTGAAAACGTACATACCATCTAGACTCTCTTTTCTACCCTATCATAGTAATCTGATTCTTCTGATTTTTTTACTCTGGGGAAGTATTATTAGTTTCTTCTATTCTATTTCAGAAATTTTTTATTTATGGACACATGTATTTATAAGTATAGTTACTGAAGATTAAAATAGTTACTGTGTTCAAAAGCCACACACACACACATACTTTTTTACAAACATATATGTAAAATGTAATATTATATAACAGATATGTAATTTAATATAATTATATTCTCTTTTTTTGTGGTGCTGAGAATAGAAACCAGGGCCTCATGCTTCTTACATTCTACCACTGAGCTACACTCCCAAACAAGTACAATTATATGATTTTTTGATTTATAATTTGTATAACATGTAATCTATAATTATGATATATAACTAGTATGTGATATAACATGTTATGTAAGTTGTACATATATACATGCTACACACACTTCTGTGTATTGCCTCTTTCATTATATTTTTAAGCAATATTATTTAAAATTCTAAATCAATACATAAGAAGTAATCTCATTCTGTTTTTAATTTGCATCATTCCATTGTAAATTCGTTTTTTGCTGATGATTAGACCTTTACAGTTTTTTCTGCTTCTAGTAGAAAATAAATCTATGCCTGATATATTTTGCGTATGTGCAAATATATCTATAAGATGAATTCCTAGAAGTAAAACTGCTCAAAATGTATTTTTATTTTGAAAAGAGCTCTTTGTCCTCTGAATGTAGCTTTTTCTATAGCATTTTATTCTTGTTTTATTAGATATTATTTTTCTTATCTCATTCATGTTGAAAATAATTTTTAAAAAACTTGTTTCCTTGAAGAGTCTCTTTCTTAATTCATATTGCTTTGCTGATTTTCCTTTTCTTAAGTGTAGAAAATATTTTGGTTGTCTACTGCTTGGTTGTGAGGTATCAAAAAACTAGAGTTCCCTGAGTATGTGGGTAGGGCATGTTAACTAAGCCTTCACTTTGAGTGATATAAGGTTTTTACAAAGTTTTACAACATTAATATCTTTAGATATTTCCTGGTCCAGATCTGTAGCTGTGGGGAGGGGTTCTTTTAATTTCCCCCCTGAAGGGAATAAATATGGTTATGAGAGCTAACAGGGAGAAGAAGGCAGGCATTTCACATTTATCACTTTTTCTATTAATGTTCAGGGCACCATCACCTTCCCTGGGGAATCTGTCTTGTGTTTTTTTGCCAGGGTAAGGGAGGGGCAAGATCCACCTGGGTGGAGTGGGGAGAAATTTCTACATTAGTGTGTTTCTATTGGAGACACCAATATAAGTTGAGGTGAAGGTGAGACCATATGGATAGCTTTCAAGCCATCAATTCTTGAGCCCTTGTACCAGTTCTGTGGTTACTGTTCTTTTTCACCACTGTCACTGTAGAAATTAGCCTTTTAAGGTCTGCAAGTAAGTTATCATGTGTCCAACCACTTCTAGTGTCTAAAAGAATGTTTTAATTATCCTTTCATTGTATCTGTGGTTACTGTCATTCTAGTGGGATTTTTGGAGGTAACAGTGACAGGTATATCTAATCATTCATTTTAACCCAGAATTGGAGTTCTTTAGTCCCTAAGTATTTAGGTTAACTGTTGTAATTCTCAGGCTAATGAGATGGGCTATCCTTAAGAAACTCTAGGGTTATCCTTAAGGCAAATTGTCTCTCCTTTCCCTGCCATGAAGACAGAATTCTTTCTGTAAATATGGTTTTGTCTATGTGATTCTTTGCTCCATTTCTTCTTCTCTGCTGCTTGGAGTAAACCACGTCCCGAGAGATTCTTTGCAGTAGCCTATGCATCTGTATCTGCTAGTATAAAATAACAATTTTAATTTTGCCCCTCTCTTTGGAGAGGGTGTCCTGGTGTCCTTTTTCTACTTTCTCCTTCACCCCTGCCCAGTCTTTACTTGTTTTGTCCCTTCTAGATAGTTTGTGTTTTCTGTTTTAAGTATTAAAACTTTGTGCAGCAAGAACTATAAATCTGCTTTTGGGGGATTTCTGAAAGAACTCCAATTCTATCCTTCCAGTTTAAAAATATTTTTTGTGGTGCTGGGGATTGAACCCAGGGCCTTGTGCATGAGAAGCAAGCACTCTACCAACTGAGCTATATCCCCAGCCCTAATGTTTTAAATGTGATCACATGGATTTTACACATTAATTTTATGAAGAATTTAAAAGCACACAATGTTGAGCCCTTTAAAATTGTTTTTCACTAAAGTTTCATAATGTTTAACTTTAGGGTTCTTTCCTGCATTCATTATAACTTATATAGCTTTTGTTCCAATTGTGAATAAAATATTCTTGCTTTTTCAGTTACATTTGCTAATTGGTAGGTAGTATTTATGAGAAAGCAGATGATTTTTGTGTGTTGAGCCTATGTATAGTGTAACTTTATTTTAAAATTTAAACCATACCTCTATATTTTTACAGAAAATATGTAAAGCACAAAGAAATTAAGAGGAGATAACCTTTATTTACTACCTAGAAGAAATCACACTGTTAATAACTTAGTATATTTTCTTCCAGCCTTTAGAAACACTTAAGAATACTCGGTAAATTTTTTTGTGATCTATGAAAATGTCATAAATATGTAATTGACTAAATATTGTTTTACCATGTGACTATATAATAATTTACTTAGTTATTTCTTTATGTTGGGCATTTGGGTTGTCTCCAATTTTTCATTTACTATGTTTCTTTAAAAAAAAACTTTAAGCTTTCATATCTGAAAAATAAATTTCTCTCTGCCTAAGTTTCCCCATTTGTGAATTGAAGATAATGATCATCCCTTTCTGAGGATGTACCAATGTGTTCATCTTGATATCTGGCATGTAAGAAATACTCCAGTAATGTCAGTTGTTATCAATTTTAAACTACTAAGCATTGCTTATGTTCTCAATTCAATTACTTCTGTCATCCTATATTATAATATGTCATTTCAATTTAAGACAATAAAACTGAATTGCCCGGTTCATGTGGTTAATAAATTTTGCTGCTTAAATACTTTTCCTGAAAACAAACAAACAAAAAACCAAACGCATTCTTGATTGTGTGCCAAAGAAAAGAACAATTTCTAGCAGAGGCAGAAGCAGTTTCCCACATATTAAAGAGCTTAAAATTAATTTCTTAACTATTACAGAAAGTCCTAAAACTTAACAACCACCATCACCTGCATTTTTCTTTAAGGCCCCGCACATTTTTTTCCTAAACCAAGTCACATTTAAAAAGGACAACATATTGGGCAAAGTTGCAATGTCCTTTGCATTGTTACACTAAGTGTAAACCTTCTGCTTCCAGATCCCTACCATCTCTCCAGTGCCTTGCAGGAACAATGGCCTGGGTGGGAAACCAGACTTTTATCTCCCACTTCATCCTCCTGGGCCTCTTCACCCACTCGCCATTACACCTCTTCCTCTTCTCCATCATCATGATCATGTTTCTGGTGGCCCTTTCTGGCAATGGGCTCATGATCCTCCTCATCAATGTCGACTCCAGCCTCCACAGCCCCATGTACTTCTTCCTCAGCTGGCTGTCACTCATGGACCTCATGCTCATCTCCACCATTGTGCCACGGATGGCCGATGACTTTCTGCTTGGTGGTGGCTCCATCTCCTTTACAGGCTGTGGACTCCAGATCCTCTTCTTCCTCACCCTCTTGGGGGATGAATGCTTCCTGTTGGCCTTCATGGCCTACGACCGCTACGTGGCCATCAGCAACCCACTGAGGTACTCAGTGGTTATGAGTCGCCGAGTCTGCTGGCTCATGGTGGCGGGGTCCTGGCTCTTTGGACTGGTGGATGGGCTGATCCAGGCTGTCTTCACCCTCCGCTTCCCCTACTGTGGTTCCCAGGAGATAGACCACTTCTTTTGTGAGGTCCCTGCAGTGCTCAAGCTGGCCTGCGCTGACACCTCCCTCTATGAGACCATGATCTATGTCTGCTGTGTCCTCATGCTGCTCCTGCCTTTCTCTGTCATCTCGGCCTCCTACCTGAGGATCCTGGTGGCAGTGCTCCGCATGCACTCTGTGGAAGGCCGGCAGAAGGCTTTTGCTACCTGTTCCTCCCATATGACCGTGGTCTCCCTCTTCTATGGGGCAGCCATGATTACCTACATGCGACCCCAGGCCTACCACTCTTCCAAGCAGGACAAAGCGGTCTCTGCCTTCTACACCATGATCACCCCCATGCTCAATCCTCTCATCTACAGTCTGAGGAACAAGGAAGTGGGCGGGGCTTTGAGGAAACTCCTGGGAAGGTGCCCCTGTGGGCACTAAATTGATGCTGCCATCTGATGATGTGGGCTCTGCAGCCAGGTGACCTAGATCAGCCAATTGTAGTTTGATTAGAAGAGAAACAGATGTGACCTACTGAAAAAACAACTTTCTGATCAGAGTTAATCAAATTAACACATCAATTTAATCTATCATGCTCACGCTCAGTATGAAAGGCTGGGCCTACCAGGTTACAAAGAGCAGGAGACAGAAGCTACCAGGAGAGTCAGCAGGTGACAGCTGTTTTGTCCTTCTCCAGGAAATACCCATGCCTGAGGACAGCCACCTTGTCCCAAGTCTTGCCCTCTTCTTTGGGGTCTTTCTGCATTCCATTACTTTAGTTTCCTAAATAGCTGGAATTACAGGCATAAACCACTATGCCTGGTGGAATCTATCTATTTATTTATTTATTTTCTAAAAAAATATTTATTTATTTATTTATTTTTTAGGTGGACACAGTATCTTTATTTTTATGTGGTGCTGAGGATCCAACCCAGTGCCTCATGCATGCTAGGTGAGCACTCTACTACTGAGCCCCAGCCCCAGCCACTTCTAATACTTTTCTGATATTAAAAGTGTCGCCAAATTTTTTTATGATTAATGTTTGCAGTGTATATCTTTGTTGTCTATCCTATTATTTTTTAAGTGAGTTTTTATGAAATATAGCACATTATAGTTTTTTAAAAATAACTTGGTCTGTCAACCTCTTTCAATTGAAGTGTTCAGTCCATTTATATTTAGTGTAACTATTTCTCTGATTGGACTTAATTCTACCATTTTACTCTTAAGTTTCCACTTTTATTATCTGTATTTGTCTCCAACACTTTTTCCTGCTTCCATTCTTTTGTACTAATCAATACAATTATTTGGTATTCCATTTTATCACTCTGTTGACTTATTTTTCCTGGTACTGGAGATTGAATCCAGGGATGTGCTACATCTCTAGTCCTTTTCCTTTTTTATTTTGAGACAGAGTCTAAGTTGCCAAGACTAGCCTCAAGCTTGAAATACTCCTGCCTCAACATGCTAAGTCACTGGGACTACAGATGTGGGCCTCTGCACCCAGTCCTTTATTAACTTTTAAATTTATTTTTAACTTTTAAATATATTTTTAAACATATTTAAAATATATTTATAAATATATTTCTTGGGCTGGGGATGTGGCTCAAGCGGTAGCACGCTTGCCTGGCATGCATGTGGCCTGGGTTCGATCCTCAGCACCACATACAAACAAAGCTGTTGTGTCTGCCGAAAACTGAAAAATAAATATTAAAAATTAAAAAATATATATACTTCTTAAATATAATTTTTAAAAAATTTATTTTAACTTTTAAATATATTTTTAAATTTCTTTTTATTTTTGGAACTGGGGATTGAACCCAAGGGTGCTTTGCCACTGAGATACATACCTAGTCCTTTTTTTTTTTTTTTTTTCAGAATTAAATTTTATTTCACATTTAGAGAAACTGTGAAAAACACCGACATTTTCCCATGTTACAGCACAACATTTCAACGGAATATTTCTTGCCATAAATAAGATCTTACTGATTTGTATAACTGAAATTAAACAGTTTTTGTTCTTCAAGTTAAAATAAAAATGACTTAGTACATGATTGTTTAAAATTTTCAAATCCAGACATAAACATATGGCTTCATTATTAACATCCTATATTGTCCATTACGAAATTATTTCCATTATCAATTAGCACCCATTTATAAAGATGCATTCTTAACATTGTTTTGGTCAGTTGGAGTACAGAAAAAAAATTAACAGTTCAGAAATATTAAGCATACATTTTTGCAATATACTAAATTGTGAGGGTACTACATCATATATATAGGGGGGTCTGATTAATTTTTATTACCCATAAATTTGTTTTCAAATAATTTTTATCAGTAATCTGGAAAATCTAATGCATATTAACCAAAGAATTGCTTTTTTGATATTGAAAATTTAACCCAGGGGTACTTTACCACTGAGCTTTATCCTCATCCCTTTTTATTTTTTATTTTGAAGACCGGGTCTTGATAAATTGCTTAGGGTCTCTCTAAGTTGGTGAGGCTGGCCTTGAAATTGTGATCCTCCTGCCTCAGCCTCCAGAGTTGCTGGGATTACAGGCATAATTTTAAAAATCATTTGACTCAACTGAAAATTTCAAATAAGTACACTGGCAGACAAAAATAAAGCAACTTTTTCTAATGGACAGCTCATTTTCTGTAGTAGTTGGTTTCAAACATATATATATATAGAGAGAGAAAAAGTAAATCTAAACCGTATGCTATAAGACCCAATCATTTTAGAAACCAGTTTTTAAGATCAATCTCAAATATTTCAGAAAATGCCAAAATATGACCTAATTAGTCTTTCAGTTGTTTACAGAAAAAATAAAACTACAGACAGAATTGTTCTTATTGATTGAATATTCTAATAACTAAACAGGTCTAAATTTGGACTAAGGTATAGTTTTTGAAATATGTAGTACAGGGAGTTTAAATAATGTTCAATTTCTTTTAAAGCATACATTGATCTTAAATATCCTATGTCAGTGATTCAGATGTCTATGGCAAGGAAGCAATAACTGGTCTGCTACTGAAGGACAATCAAGAAAGAAAGGACTTTTATTTTTCTCGAGAGAAAAGAATATTAAATAGAAATAATATCAAGGAAAAGAACAGCCTGGTCCCCCAAATAAAAGGGCAATTAATTGAAAAGAGCAACACTATTCTCTGTTGACACTTATAAGCATTATCCCTATTATCAGGAATAATGTAACACCATCTAATTGTATGTATTACCATCATTATGTATATACGAATATATATATATTAAAAAATACAGATACTGCATGGTGACTAAGCAATTTTGGAATAAATCCATAGACCAAGTCACAGCATGCATAAATTGTTTATATCTTGATTGCTTGTTTATACTGAAATAAATTTTTGTCAAGCATACTAGTAATTTTCAAATGATATGATAAAAAATTTGGTTGTAGTATTTTATTTTGCTCAATTACATTTAAGAAAAAGAAGCTAGGTGCTTCACCTATTTTAATACTAGTGTAGTCTGGATCATCGTATACAAATACATGTATAGAAACTTAAAAGATTTCCCACGGAGGAGCCATTATTTTGTCTGTATCATTGGTGTGTATCTGCAAAACATTTCAACACTGCAAACATTAAAAGTTTTAAAGTTGAGCATGGGAAAAGGTTTAGACTCTACTGCAATGATGCTGGTGTACGTCTACACAAGGCCTCTTAGTGATGTCAATCAACCGGAGGTAGGAGTTTATCAATGAATTGCTTGACATCCATCATTTCCTGTTGACATGAACAGTGCATCATGCCTTCATAGATTTTGAAGGTTACATTTGCTGGATTTACCAAAGTCTTTAGTTTTTCAACAGTAAGAGAACCAAACATTAGTGGAACTAAAGGATCACAATCTCCATGGCACTGAAGAATAGATAGCTCTCTATTAGGGCCGCTGATGGGACTCTGTGGGAATGAAGCCCGGAGTGGAAGCCAACAACTGAGTGCAGTGACACCTGCCAGTTTCTGCTGTGTGGTGAGAGCAGTGTACAAAGACAAGGCTCCTCCCTGAGAAAATCCTCCCAAAATAATTCTGTTAGATGGAATGCCATTCTTCACTTCTTGATCTATCAAAGCTTTTACATTTTCTGCCGCTTGTTTAATTCCAGGTTCATCCTCCTGAGCATCTGGTGAAAGTCCAATGATATCAAACCAAGAAGGCATAGCCATTTTCATATTCAATGTAACAGGCATAACTGGCGCATGCGGGCAGATATATTTGATATGTGAACTTCTGATACCTGCAAAAGCTTCTGCCCATCCGTGCCCAGTATCTCCCAATCCATGAAGGAAAATAACCGCGGCGGTGGCCTTCCGGGCAGCAGGAACGACGGAGGGCAATGGGGCAGACATGTTATTGCCGCACATCCACCGGCTCCCTGGACAGTGCGTCGGAAGCGGAAAGCAGAGCGGGCTCCCGGCCGCGGCCCAAGGGCGTGCGAGCGGCGAGTCCCGGCCCGCGAGTCCCATACCTAGTCCTTTTTTAAAATTTTGAGACAGGTTCTTACTAAATTGCTGAGGGTCTTACTATATTTATGAGGCTGACCTTGAACTTGTGATCCTCTGCATCAACCTCCCAAGTTGTTGAGATCACACGCATGCACCACCATGCCTCACTTTTTTTTTTCATTCTTGAATTATTTTTTTTTCTGGTTACAAAATTTTTGGTTGACAGTTTTTATTTCTTTCAGTATTTAAAATGTAATTCCATTGGTTCTTTTCTCTGTAATTTCTGATGAGAAGTCAGCTGTATATTTTAATGGATATCCTTGTAACTTTATCTTGTTTTCTTAGTTACTTCAAAGATTTTGTCTGTATCTTTGATTTCAGAAACTTGATAATGATGTGCATTGGTGTAGTTTTCTTTTTATCATTCTACTTGTATTTCCCTGAGATTGTTTGATCTGTCTGTTGGGATATAGTCATAATTTTGGAAAAAAAATTTAGGTTTACCAAGTTTTTTTAATCTTTCCTTTTCTCTTTCATAGACACAAATGATAGATTGACATTGTCTCTCATACAGTTCTATTTTCCCACTCATTTGTCTTTTTGTGCTTTGATTTTGGGATTTCTATTGACTAGTTTACCATTCAGGGATCAGCATTCTATGACCCACAGATCAAATATGGTTCGCTGGCTGTTTTTATAGTTTTACTATTTATTCTATAGTTTTACATATTGTGTAAGGCTGCTTTTGTGCTAAAACAGCAATAGTTGAGTAGTTGTGACAGAGAGCATATGATTTACTAAGCCTAAACTATTACTATCTAGTTTTTTTTTTAACAAAAGTTTTGTCTACCTCCATTTTAGGTCACTGAGTTTCTTGTTTTATGTTCAAGATACTATTAATCCCATTCAATGATTTCATCATTTTAGATATTGCATTTTTAGGTATAGAATTTCAATTTTATTCTTAAGGTTTCCATTGCTGTATTATAATTCTCCATCTGTTCATCCATTCTCATTGTCTTATCCTCTAAATTTATTAAAGTATGATCTATTTCCAAATCTGTGTCATCTATATGTCTATTTGTATTAATAATGCTTTCTGTTGACAGGTAACATTTTTATGGTCTTTTTTCATGTTTTATAATTTCCTGTTGGGCATTTTGAATAAAAGAAAACACTGCAGATTGAATTAGATATTTTTTCTGTTTATTTTCTTTTCTGAGAGAGAGAATACCCTTACTTTTGTCAGGCAGCTGAGATAAGATTTAGATCCCACCATTAACAGAGCTGAGTTGGAGGCTTGGCCAATTTCAATTCTGTTTTAATATGAGACTATTGGTCTCCAATCCAAACTTTGACTTCTTATATTGCCCCTCAACTAAGGATATTTATTTACTCATATTAGGATTTCAGTTAGAAGGGGGTTGAATTCCATTATAAATTCACATCTGCATTCACCTCTACCAGTGCCCTGGCTAAAGTGTGATTAGGAGAGCTCCCTTCTATTTTTAGTGCCATCTCTACTGTCAATTAGCAAAATTTCTCTGTGGAGGAATTTTTCAAGATACTTATATTCATATTGGGGGACTTCTAGATTCTAATTTGACATGCCAGTCCACATTGCCATTAATAGTTCATCTAGTTTTTCTTGCATTTTATCTGAGAATACAAAAAGGTAAATTTTGGGGAGGGTAACTTCTTTTTCAATTTTTAAAATTGATTCATTATTATTTTACATAATAATGGGATTCATTGTCATATTTTCAGATATACACATAATTTGGTCAATTTCATTCCCAAGATCTCCTCTTTTGGAGGATTTACTTCTTTCTCCTTATAGACCAACCCCCTTTTCAATGTTATAAAATGTGTATAAGGAATATGAGAGGGACTTTTAAAAATTAAGTAATTTATTTTAATTAAGTATATATGACAGCAGAATGCATTTTGAATCAGTGTACACAATTGCAGCACTACTTTTCATTTCTCTGGTTGTATATGATAACGCATAACACCATATGTGCAGTCATACATGTACCTAGGGTAATGATGTCCATCTCATTCCACCATCTTTCCTGCCCCCGTGTCCCCTCCCCACCCTCACTCCCCTTTGCCCCATCAAAGCTCCTCCGTTTTTCCCTTGTTCCCCCACTATTGTGAGAGGGGTATTATTTATAGCCAATGACTGTGAAGTCATGAGCACCAATCCAATAGACCTCTGAAGGGATATGTCTCCTTGGTGCCTTATCTCATCTCACACACTCATCAGTATTATCCCATGATAAGTGGTTGTTGACTCAATTTAACAGATGAGAGGAGCTGGAGATATAGTTTCAGGGAAGAGCACTTACCTAACATGCATGAAGCCCTGGGTTTGATCTCCAGCATTCCCATACACACAAGGAAATTATGACACATGTGTCATACATGTATATAAGGTAGTGTAATCATACATGTAAATAAGGTAATAATGTCCATCTCATTGCACGATCCTTTCCATCCCCATACCCCTTCTCCTTCCCTCACTCCCTACACAATCCAAAGTTCCTTCATTCTTCCCCACCCATCCCACCATTATGGATTAGCATCCGCTCATCAGAGAAAACATTTAGCCTTTGGTTTATTTGGCTTAGCATGATATTCAGCTCCATCCATTTACCTGCAAATGCCATAATTTCATTCTTTAAGGCTGAGTAATGTTCAATTGTGTATATATACCATGTTTTCTTTATCCATTCATCTGATGGAGGGCATCTAGGGTGGTTCCATAATTTATTGTGAATTAAGCTCCTGTAAATATTGATGTGGCTGCATCACTGTAGTACTAATTTTAAGTCCTTTGGGTATAGACTGGGACAGCTGGGTCAAATGGTGGTTTCATTTAAAGTTTTCTGAGGAATCTCCATATTGATCTCCATAGTGGTAGCAACAATTTGTGGTCCACCAGCAATGTATGAGTGTATTGTTTTCCCCACATTCTCACCACCGCCTATTGTTACTTGTATTCTTGATAATTGCCATTCTGACTGGAGTGAGATGAAATTTTAGTTTTGATTTGTATTTCTCTAACTGCTAGAGATGATGAACATGTCTTTGATCTACTTTGAGTTGATTTTTGTGCAAAGTGAGAGAGAGAGGTTTAATTTCATTTTGCTACATATGGATTTCTAATTTTTCCAGCACCATTTGTTGAATAGGCTATCTTTTCTCCAAAGTATGTTTCTGGTGCCTTTGTGTAGTATGAGATAACCATTTTATATGGGTTTTTCTCTGTGTCTTCTATTTTGTACCATTAGTCTACATGTCTATTTTGGTGCCAATACCATGCTGTTTTTGATACTATTGCTCTGTCATATAATTTAAGTTCTGGTATATAGTGATGTCTCCTGCTTTAGTCTTCTTGCTAAGGATTGCTTTGTTTATTCTGGGTCTCATATGTTTTCAAATGAATTTCATGATTGCTTTTTCTAGTTATATGAAGAATGTCATTGTGATTTTTAAAAGGAGTTGCATTAAATCTGTACAAAAGTCTTGGGAGTATGGCCATTTTGACATAATTCTGCCTATCCAAGATCATGGAAGATTTTTCCATCATCTTTTTAATCCCAATTTGACAGACAAGAGAAACAAAGATTCATAGAGGTAAGGCAATTTTTTAAGTTTGTCTGCTTATGGTTACTTTCTAAGAAGTGGCACAGTCATGGCTTATGATAACTCTCCAAAATCTCTGCCCATCTGTGAAACAGGACTATCTGCTTCTGGTCTCCAGGACAAGCTAAATTTGCAAAATGAGTTCAGCCATCCCTTCTTCAACTTTCAGAATAGAAGATGGAAGGGAACTTTCTAATTTTCTAGTCCTCATTTAAAGAAAACGTCTTGCATGACTTTATGGACCTCTTTTTGGACAACTATGGTGGTGATTTTTAATTTTGCCTGGAGGCCTGTGGGGGAGGATGGAGGTCTTCCTTTTTTTGAAAATTTGCTTTCCTTAAATGTTGATCTTGAATCAGATAAATGATTCTGTTTTTACTGTCTTCTTTGAATTGAAATAGAATTGAGGACAACGTTTAGTACTGGAACTGAAATAATTGAGAAAGAAAGTCCTGAAGTGACTCCTGCTTGCTTTTCTGTTGTCCTGGTGACAATAAATACCTATGATACTGTTATGTGTAGTGAAGAAAAATCATGGTGATGTCTGGCTTACTTTTTAAAATTTTGTAAAAACTTTGTAAAAAACTCTCCCACACCCACTTCTGAACCCTCACCTACCTCAAAGCACACATACATATTTGGGGCTGATAGGTCTGTCTACAGCCAGAGCAGAGGGAAGATAGGTGTCCCAGGACAGCAGCCCCTTTTCTCCAAGGTCATATGATCATGATGTCTTGCCCTAACTGAAGAGAGTGGCGTTCAGATCTGGAAAATGAGGTGGAAATGAAAAGAGAAAAAAGGAGGCCCCCAATTCTTCCCACTCCAGCTGCCTTATCTTAATCAAAGCTCCTTCCCACCAAGACAGAGTGACATTAGACAAGAAATATAGGGAGTTTCCCGTGGTAGGGAAGCCGGGAAGCCTCTTGATGCATAATTTCTGTCTAATCTCTGCAATAAAAAACAAGTAAGCCGCCCAGCCTGCTGGACCAGCACCTTTGGGAAAGCCACGGCCTAAGTTGCAGCTGAGGGCAGCACAGATCCAATCTCCTAGATATGGCATCCCACTTACCTGGAGGAGCTTGGGGTTGGGTTGGATAAGAGACCCCCACGTGGTTACCTCAGGTCCCCATCCTGGGGGGTTGCAGGGTTTAGGCAGGAAGGCGCCTCCTAATGGAGGACAATAACAAGCCCTGAGACCCATCCTGGCCTTGGTGGCCTGGTTCTCCACCTTTACAGAAGCCGCAGCTCCCAAGCACCAGTGGCCGGCCCGACCCACATGCGCTGTCTTTCCAGCTGGTGAGTTGGAGCTCCCTCCCTAGCGCGAGAATGCCAGATGGAGTCCACCGAGCTTCAGCCATCCC